TTGGATAGCTATCTTCTCATCTTTCACGATATCAAGGAAGTTTTGTGCCAACAAATCTTCAACAGTTCTCTCTGTATTTTCTGTTATCCATCCCCCCCACCCCCCACCCTGCTCTGGTACTCCAATCACTCATAGGTTATTCCTCTTGATAGAGTCCCATATATTTCTTGGAGTTTCTTCATTTTTTTAAATTCTTTTGTCTTATTTTTCCTCAAATAAGTTGATGTCAAGTGCTTTGTATTCAGTCTCACTAATTCTGACTTCCATTGCCTCAGTTCTGCTCTTATGAGTTTCTATTGAGTTGTCTAATTCTGAAATTTTATTGTTACTCTTTTGGATTTCTGTTTGCTGTCTCTGTATGGATTTTTGCAGTCTGTTAAATTTGTCATTATGCTCTTGTATAACCTTCTTGAGTTCCTCTATTGCTTTATCTATGTATTCTTTGGCTTTGTCTACATTATGAATGATCTCCTTCCTGATATCTTGAAGAGCTCTGTATATTTATCTTTTGAATTCTACCTCTGGTAATTCCAAGACCTTCTCTTCTTCTGGGAGGTTTTCTGGTTCTTTGTTTTGGTGGCTTGCTGAAGACATCATGATCTGCCTCTTTATGTGATTTGATATTGACTGTTGTCTCCAAGTCATTAATAAGTTATTATATTTATTTATTTTATGTTTGCTTACTGTATCCTAGCTTCGTGTTTTGTTTTGATATGCCAAAATAGGCTAGTCGTGTGAGCTACTTTGATTATTGGCGTCTTTGAAGCTCTCATGTCCTATCACCAGGGGGTTAGAGCTGTTACTAAGTATGTGATCCCAGGAGTCCATTTACTCTTCTTGTGTGGATTCAGCTCAGATGTACAGGTTGTCAGTCACTGAGTGTGAGGTGCAGGCTCTCACCTACAGTCCTAGACCTGCAGGGCTATGTAGGGGTGATTGAAGTAGGCCCAGGTATCTGGCTGCAGTATCTTACTATTGGTATCTTCTGACAGGTATTCCCTGATCCGCTGCGAGTCCACACAGCACCTTTGTGTGACTAAGAAAAAAACACTCTTGCTCTTTGCCAGAAATCTTTCATATCTATATACACAAATTTATGATGGCTCTGAATGTTACTGGTGCACCTAGAGTTTACTGGACACAACCTACACAACCATAATTCATGGTCTGGGACCTCCCCCAAAACAGCAAGTGGCTACAGGTTTGTCAGGTCTCTAGGTGGCACAAACTGTTTGCACTCAACTACTAACCCAGAGATTGGCAGTTCGAACCCTCCCAGTAGCGCTGAGGAAGGAAGGCCTGGTGATCTGCTTCTGTACGGATTACAGCCAAGAAAATCCTCTGGAACAGTTCTACTCTGTAATACATGGATTCACCAGAAGCTGGAGTTGACTCGATAGAAATAGGTTTGGTTTATATTAGTCAACTTTTGCCATGGCAGCAAATTACCTTCAAACTTTTAGTGGCTTAAAACACCAAATATTTAGTTTTTGCTCATGGGTCTGGAGGCCAGCTGCAGCTCTGCCCTAGGCTGTAAGTTGGGTTTAAACTTGCTTATCATTTTGAACTTTGAGTCTGCTCCACAGGGCTTCTCATTATGCTACCCAGGCTGAAAGATCAGCCCTGATCTGAAACCTCATCTTCTCATGGCAGAGGGCAGAAGCCCAAGAGACCTCTGGTCTGAGGTGGCATGGGCCATATCCACTCATATTTCATTGGCTAGAAAAAGTCACATGGCCAAGACCATCATCAGGGCATTGGGGAGTATACTTCTTTCTTGGAGTGGGTGCTTGGAGGGAAGAGTGATATTTGGTGAATAATAATAAAGTTATCACATTGCTCTCTAAGACTTCCTGCCTCCTAGCATGCCCTCCTCTAGCACACACCTCAAAGTGTTCATGTCTGGACAGTGCTGGGTGATTAACAAGATGTAGGAAATCAGTTCTGCCTCAGAGGTGGTTTGGATTACAGAATGTGTTAAAGGATTTCACTTCTAGTACTGTGGAGAGCTTTTAAGTTTTGATTTTTTTAGATTTTAGAGGTGCGGGGATTGATGTTTGTTGTGGCAACCTGATTAACTGGGACAGGGTCTCCTCCTTCCCTCTGCCCCTACCAAAAGGGCATCTATCAAGAAATTTGCACCAGCAAACTTTCTGCTCTGCTATGAGCTGCCAGAACCAAGTGGAGCCTGATATTAAGCCATGCTCTTCGCTGCTTCATGTTGGTGCATAGGCGTGGCTTCCAGTGCCTTTTTCTTTGACTCCACTGACTCCACCTCCTACCCCTAATCCCAGCCCTTGCTGCTCTGCATCTGAGGTTTTCTTATTTCCCCCTCAGTGTCCTTTTGTTTGCCTGTGTTGTGTTCAGCACTGATTAGCTTTTCCTTTAAAACAATTCCAGAAATTCCTCAAAGTTACTGATGGATTGATGGTGCTCTTCTTTGTTGTCCGTTGCTGTGTAGTTGGCTTATTCTATTTCAGGAGTATTTGAGAAAAGAAAAGTGGCAGCCATTTGAGCCTAGTTACCCGCGTTGAACTGAAACTCCAGTGTTTTCAAACATAGAGATAATATTGTTTCACCATAAGGGCAAAGATTGAAGGGAAGGGATGGAGGAGGTATGCCAGACCCATAACTAACATGGGCAGCTGGTTTTCTTCCAGGAGCAACTTTTCATGAAGAAACTGTTTGTTATTTCGTAAGAATAACTCTGTGTTATTTCAGAGTGATGTTGAAATGCACATGGATGGTACGTAGTCAGTTCAAATGCATACTTCAGCAGAAATACAAATTGTTGTGCATCATAGATTGTTGAAATTCCTGGTGAATAGCTAGAACTGTGACTGTGAAGTAACTAATTTCTAATTTTCTCCTTCACCAAAATGTGAGTCCTGTAAAGGTTTGGTGTGTGTCTGTCACGCTCCTCATTGTATCTCCAAAGCCTAGTACAGTACCTGGCATGGAGTGGGCATTCAGAAAACTTTGGTTGAAATAATGCAAATATTAGCAGTGGACCAAACCAAAAAACCAAGCGCACTGGTGTTGAGTCAAGTCCAACTCATAGCGACCCTATAGGACAGAGTAGAACTGCCCCATAGGGTGGCCAGGGAGCACCTGGTGGAGTTGAACTGCTGACCTTTTGGTTAGCAGCCAAGCTCTTAACCACTGTGTCACCAAGAACAATAGAGGCAAATCCTAGGGAGAATCTTTGGGACTCATGAGTGAAGTGAAGCACAGTAGAGGCAAGTAGCACTATCCTATCAGTTAAGGAGTTTGCAGCCACGACCGTGCCAGGAATGTGTTCAGGTTGATGCCTCATGCCCCCTGGCTCTACTGTAGGGTGCATGGAAGTCTGGAAGGGATTGGGCACTGTTCTGAAAGTTAGGAGTCCAGCCACCGAATGCTGCTCTGCTGTGGACCCAGGTTGAGGCCATGGGGCCGGGGTCCATGTAGGAATGCCATCGTTACCCTGCCATATCCCCTTAGCATTACCACTTCAAGACATGCATGCCTACTGACTCCAACAACCAGCACCTGCATTTTTTTGAATGTGGGCATCTTCTGGCTAATGAAGCCCACTTTGCCCACCCATGCTGCAGGTTGGAAATGCCAAGGATTTAATAGCCCCTGAGAGCTGCCCTCAGTCAACGACTGAAGGGAGTGGAAGTGCAAATAGCCCAGGCCCCTTGTCCCTGGGTGGGTAACTCTAAGGTGTATGGAGCATCCCCAGCAGGCTTAAGATCAGTCCCCTGCTGTGCTGATTAGCTCTGCAGTTAGCGTACCTTTTCTTGGCTGCTTTCCCTGACTCACTTCCCCACTCCTCTACCAGTGTTTCCTTCACCTGCTAAGTAAACTATTTGCCTTTGAATACTCGTCTCAGGGTCTACTACTGGGGATACTCAAAGTCTGACAGTGTGCTATGGGACATAGGGATGTGACCACTGAGTGGTAAGTATTGTTGAGGCTGCAAAATCTAGAGACAGCCTGAGCTTCATTTTTGCTTAGACCTCCAGTGTTTAGGGGACACTGAGCTTCTATTAAGGGTGATGGAAAAATTTGGGAATGGATAAGGGTGATGGTTGAGGAAAATGATGAACCTAATTAATGTAATTAATGTCACTGAACTATACATGTGAAGACTGTTGCAATGGAAAATGTTTTGTATATTTACTACAATAAAATCTGTATTGAAAAAGATAATAACCAAAATAGAAAATAAAGCACTCATTCCTTGGGTGGTGCAAACAGTTAATGTGGTCGGCTGCTAACTGTAAGGTTGGAGGTTTGAGTCTACCCAGAGGTGCTGCAGAGGTATATTTCGCCTGGCAAAAAATCAGCCATTGAAAACCCTATGAGTACAGTTCTACTCTGACACACATGGGGTCACCGTGAATTGGAGCTGACTTTAGGCAACTGGTTACTGGTAGCTTCTCTTGTTTTTAAAAGTTATTATATAAACAATTCCCAAACAGCTCCGGGAGATGACAGAGTCCTTTTTAAGGACAGTTGAAACTCTCCTGCTCAGACAACATCAGTGATTTGCACTGCCTGTACGATAGAGTCTTATTTGACTCGCAGGGCACTCGTCATCCCCCTGAATATACTCCATCTCTTGCTATAGAAAGGAGCCCTGGTGGTGCAGTGGTTAAGTGCTCAGCTGCTAACCAAAAGATTGGTGGTTCAAACCCACCAGTCGTTCCACGGAAGAAAGATGTAGCAATTCCATAAAGATTTACAGCCTTATAAACCCTATGGGGCGGTTCTACTCTGTCCAATAGGGTTACTATGAGTCAGAATTGACCTGATGGCAACCAGTTTTTTTTTTTCCTTGCTATAGAAGGCTGCTTATTATTTCTAAACATGGCCTGCAGGTTACCTCCTCTGTGCTTTTTGCTCACTGGCCTGCTGGTTTGTGTCTGAATCCTCACTGTCACTGCCCCAGAATCAGGTGACCTGGCTGCATCTTCCAACCTGGCTTTCCCCAATCTGCTCCTGAGGGATGAATGGATGGGAGGGCCCTTCTGCCCACACAAGATGTGGGAGAAGCAGTCACACTGATCTTTGATCTTTGCTTCTTTGCAGATATCTCCGTGAGCCTACTGACCCTTGTGGTCACTGCCTGTGGTCTCGCTCTCTTTGGCGTGTCTCTCTTCGTGTCTTGGAAACTCTGCTGGGTTCCATGGCGAGAACGAGGCCTGCTCTCTGGTAGCAAAGACAACAACCAGGAGCCTCTTAACTACACGGACACAGAGACAAATGAGCAGGAGAACAGTGAGGACTTCCTAGACCTTCCCACGCCTTGCCCTGACTCCTCCATGAAGATCAGCCACACCTCCCCTGACATTCCTCTCTCGACCCAGCTGGGGGTCCAGGAGAACTGTGCTCATGGCATCCGCGTACAGCGCCAAATCACAGAGCCAACTTCGTCATCTCGGTCAGTAATGCCACCTTCCTTTCTGAATGCAGGGAATGGACCACCCCCTTCCCCCTTCCCTGGCAGCAATGGCATTGGTCATCCAAGGAGTCTGCAACCTTCTAGCTGTCTATCCAGTATCAGAGACATGGATATGGGAAAACTTGGTTCTTCCTATGTTGAAATTAAGTTCTTGAGCTCTGTTTAGTCTCTTCTTAGTTCATAATAATAATAGTTAACACTGATAATACTTATGGTGTGTCAGGCATTATACTAAGAACTTTATATGCATTATTTTATTATAGCTCACAACTTTGTGTGAGATGGATACTATTGTTATTATTATTTACAGAAGAGGAAACATAAGAAACTTAAGGAGATAAAACAACAAAGCACGCAGGTCAAGATTTGAACCCCGGTTCAACCGACACCAGAACCTGACCTCTTAACCACTATTCCATGCTGCCCTCCTAGTTCTATAGAATTCGTTCACTGTGCCCCTGACCTAATCTAGCCATCATGCACAGGCTCTCTTCAGATGCCACAGTATGGCTGGAGGTCCTTGTCCATCTCCAGCCTCTATGAAGCCTGTGGAGTACCCAGACTGTCTTAGTTACCTAGTACTGCTGTAACAGAAATCCCACAAGTAGGTGGCTTTAAAGGACAGAAATTTATGTTCTCACAGATCAGGAAGCTAGAGGATCAAATTCAGGATGTGGTTCTAGGGGGAGACCATTCCTTGTCTATTTCAGCTTCTAGTAGCCAGCAGTCCTTGGAGTTCCTGAGCTTGTAGATTCATTTGCCTCCTTCATATCAATTTGTGTCTGTCTTCCTCCTGCATGTGCTCGCTTCTGTGTCTAATCTGCTCTTTTTATAACTCAGAAATGATTAGGGTTAGGACACATCCTACACCGATATGGCTTCATTAACATAGCAGAGAAAAGCGTGGTCTCAAATGGGATTACATCCATAGGTTTAGGGTTAGGATTCCAACATGTATTTTGGGGCAGAGGGGAACACAATTCAATCATAATACCAGGCCTAGGGTCACTCTCTTCCCACTATCTGGATGCTTTGTGCACTTAAGCAGTGGAGCGATGGTACAGTGTGATGGTTAAAAGCATGGACTGTGGGATCATATGAACTGGCTTTAACTTCGCTGTGTGACCTTGGACAAATTACTTAACCTCTGTATCTTTTCAATTCCTTTCTGTAAAGGAGGAATAGTAATGGTGCCGACTTATAAAGTGGTTGTAAGAATGAAATGTAATGTGCATCACGTTAAGTGCTACAAAACGTGACTGCCATTTTGTTTTCATTGCTATTATCATCATCATTATCATTGAGACAGGCCTCTCCCAAGGCTCAGATGCTGCACAAAGGTGGGTTTGAGGCTAAACAGCCAGTTCTGAATCACTGGATATAAAAACCAATTTTCAATAAGAGGTTTCAGGAAAAGAGACTCAGGAAGCAGCTTTCTTTTAAATGAGAATATTTGCTTGAGCGATAGCCAGGGGAATAGCATGTGCTGTTATTTGGAAAGTACAAGCACAGTCTGAGAGTATTTTTTTTTAAATCTTTTTAATTTGTTCCCTAGAAACAGAAATAAGATTTTACCCTTTTTTATGTTAATCAAGTTTATCCTAGAGGCTCAGCTCTTTCACATTAAGTGGGATGGAATATGACAATTTGTAATTTAATTTTTTCAGAAATCTATTTTAGCATCATTTCCAATTTTGAATCAAAAAGCTAAACCTAAAATATTCCTCTGTGAGGAAATGGATGGTTGTTTGCCGTTTGGTTTAGAAGATATCCTTAGATTTTATCACTAGAATTTCTCTTCAGAATTAAAACTTAAATATAACAGGAGCTCTATTTGATGCTGCCCTGGAGTTCAAGCAGTGGAACAGACTTATAATAAAATCCTTCCAATCCTTCAATAACTAGAGCCTTTCAGATGGAGTCTATGTTGAAAATGTCTCCTGGTTGGCTCTACTCTGCATGTAATTTTTCTGATCTGGGTTTTGCTAATTCAGGGTGAGGGAAAAAAAAAAAAAACCAACGAATTGCTGTAGAGTCGATTCTGACTCATAGTGACCCTGTAGGACAGAGTAGAACTGCCCCGAAGGGTTTCGAAGGAGCGATTGGTGGATTTGAGTTGCTGACCTTTTGGTTAGCAGTTGTAGCTCTTAACAACTGTGCTACCAGGGCTCCAATACAGGGTGATAGTACTGTAATTTTATTAAGTTATTGACCTGAGGACTCTGCCATACTTCTTATGAATTCGCAGCAGTAATATCACTACCCAATATTTATCCGAGAGAAATGGATAAATATTTTACTCTGTGGATCCAGAAATATAATTCATGTAGAAATATAAACCATAGATAGCTTCACCACTGATTTGTGGAAATTAGGTAGAAGGCACAAAAATGAAAGAGAAGAGTGAGGGAATTATCTCCGTAAACGACATTTTACACTCAGATTTATTTTAGTTTTGGAGATGGAGTTAGATTATTTTATCTGATGGTCAAAATGAAATCTAGTAATATCTGAACTACCATAAGAAGCCTAAACTCTTTCCAGCTTATTTGACTTAATACTGACAATTAATTTGCATCATCACACGTTTAAAACATTCATACCTTAATTACTGTTACCTAGTTTTATGGGTTCTATCTGGAAATATATATCTTTGTCTCATGGTCTCACCATGATAAGAGTGGTATAAAGGGTTTTAATTCTTTTTTACTGATAGAATGGAAAAATGAATGCAATTTTCTTCATGTTCCAGAACATTTTAAATTATTTTTTAAGTAACATTTTTGATACCACATTTGGGGAGCAGGAAGGCACTCTTTGCTGAGATGAGTCTAAATGGTCTACTTTTCTAGTTATCTATTTCTTTTCCTTTCTCATTATGTTCTTAGCTTTCTCTTTTTTTCTTTCTTCTCTCTCTCTTCCCCTTCCTTTCTTTCTTTTTCTTCCTATCAATATAACATCTAGTATGATTTCCTGGAGGAGCCCTGGTGGTGCAATGGTTGAGCCCTCAGCTGCTGACCAGAAGATTTGCAGTTCGAACTCACCCAGTGGCTCTGCAGGAGAAAGACCTGGTGATCTTCTCCCATAAAGATTACAGCCTAGAAAACCCTATGGGGCAGTTCTACTCTGTCACATGGGGTAGCTATGAGTTGAAATCAACTTGACGGCAACTAACAACAACATGCCTTATTGCTTTCCTCCTGTAGCAGTTGTCACTTGTCCCAAGGGTCCCAGAACATTTCCTTGACCCAGTGCACCTAAGCCTTGGATGACCATTTATGGGCAGCCTCACCTGCCACTGTGACCACCATAGCTTCTGTAGCAGCATTTGCATCGGAAATCTCAACCTCACCTGGCCTGTTCAGCTTAATATGTTTGGCTCACACCAGTGCCTTTTTGGGGTACCCTAAAGATGAGATTTGTTTTATCTTCTAAAAATGTTCCTTGTGAGGATAACTTTTCTTGTTCTTCTAAGATCAAGCCTGTGAGTGTTCTATTTCTAGTTAGCTCTACTACTATTGGAACCATCCAAAATTCCTGTTAATTCTCTTTGATTTGGATGAAGCTACTTTTGTATAATGACCTAATAACTTGGGAATGTGAATATTTTAATTCTCTCAGAATTTCTCAACACCAGATCTTTTTAAAGGTCTCTATTTCAAATCTATGAAAATCTCTGGATCCCCAAAATAGAAGGAACCTGGAAAGGTCATCTAATTCATTCCCTGGTTCGTATCCCAAGATGGGAGTCCATCTTGTTTTCATAAGCCTTCTCAATCTTTTTATGTAACACTTTGGGTTTTTAAAAAATCCCACTTGCCACACCACAAACTTCAACTCAGGTCTTTTAAGGCCCTGGATGATGTTGCCATAGAATGCTCTTGTCAGCCTCACCTCCTGGCCAGGGCCACCACGTTGCACAATCCCAGAGGACACCATTCACGTGGACTACATAGGAGGCTTTCCCTGAAAAAACTCATTACCCTACAGACTGACCTTTTTTTTTTTTTTAAAACTTCCTTCAATATATCAAGCCCTTTCCTGCCTTGAGGCCGTTCTCCCAGCCTGGACTGTTTTTCCTTTCTCTTTGCCATGCCTGGTTCATTCACAGCCTTAATGTCCCAGCTGAAATGTCACCTCCTCAGAGAGGGTCCCTGCCCACCTAAGTATTTGTTCTTTCCGTTGCCTCCTATCACTCCTAATTCTTTCTCATGTCGCCTTGTTCTTAAATCCTTTATAGGACTGAACGTCTATTTCTGATTAAATGAGTACTAGTCTGTTTATTGCCTATACTGCCATCTTAACTATGAGTTCTGTGAGACCACATGTATTTTGTTTCTCACTATCTATCCAACCCCTAGTGCAGCCCTGGGCACAGAGCAGACTTTTTCATGACTGACTGACTGAATAAATTGGTCAGTATCAGGCCACTTTTCTTTTGTTCTACTGACGAGAATGGCAAAGGGCCAGATGTATAAACAGAGTAGGGCCTATTATGGCATGAGGTTGGCAGAAGGCCGTTCATCCCAGGCCTCACATTCATTAAGAGCCTCACGTTTAGGCTTCTGACCTTATCTTTGAATTACACAATCTATGGAGTCACAGAAATTCAGTGACAGGATTGAAAGAAGAAGACAATCGTCACACTTTAAGTTTGGGTTCCATTACTGGTCACAACTCCAGCAGTAAGTACAGGAAGATTAAATCTTGCAATTACTCTATGAGTAGCACAGTTCTGTTAAGCTATATTATTGTGTGTTGAAAGCATTGGTTAAATGTAAACATTTGAAACATAACAACTTTTTAATCACTTTATTAGTTATTTCTTCAGATTTTAGTAAACAGCTTAAAAAATGGAAGTTGCCTAAAATTCTCTCAACTTCTATGAGACCCTGAAACTAGGTGTAATTGTGTATTTTCTCTTTTCCAGTTGCTGTTGAGTTGATTCTGACTCATGATGACCCCATGTATGTCAGAAT